GAGCAGGTCCTATGTGATAAATCCACTCCAGCAGCCTGGCATTCCTATGTCTTTTTATACTTCTTCTACAGCAGTGGTTCTCAGTTGGGGACAATTCTGCCCCCCAGGGGACATTTGGCAGTGCCTTGAGACATTTTTGATTATTACAACTAGGGGGGAAGAGGATGTGCTGCTGGCCTTTAGTGGGTAGAGGCCAGAGATGCTTCTAAACATGTTACAATGCAAAGGACAGCCCCCAAGAACAAAGAACTATTCAGTCCAAAATGTCACTTGTGCCAAGGTTAGGAAACTCTGTTTTACAACATACTTGGAAAGTTCTGGCATTTTGACTTTAGCATAAGTTAACTTTGGATCCAGGTTCCAATCATTCGACTGAGCAAGCTGTTGAAGGCATTCCCAGGTGCTCAAGCTAACACACACTTATCGACAAATCCAGCTTAATCCAACATGATATTACCTCCACCTGATTCAATACCCATAAGATCCACTACCATATATATTTCTCACATTTCTTTTCTTTGAGTAAGATTAGCCCTGAGCTAACATCTGCTGCCAATCCTCCTCTTTTCACTGAGGAAGACTGGCCCATCTTCCTCTACTTTATATGTGGGATGCCTGCCACGGCATGGCTTGACAAGTGGTGTGTAGGTCCGTACCCAGGATCTGAACTGGCGAACCCCAGGTCACCGTAGCAGAACCTGCTAACTTAACCACTGCACCACGGGACTGCCCCCCCCCCCCACGTTTCTATTGATATAAATTATAAAAATCTGGGGCTGGCCCAGTGGTGTAGTGGTGCTCCACTCCACTTCAGTGGCCTGGGGTTCATGGGTACAGAGCCCAGGTGCGAACCTACACACTGCTCACCAGGCCATGCTGTGGTGGCGTCCTGCATACAAAATAGAGGAAGACTGGCACAGATGTTAGCTGAGCAACAATCTTCCTCAAGTAAAAATAAATAATGAAAACCCGTATTTTGGCAGGTATAGTATCTCCTCATGATTATACTTTACACATGATGGCTCTCCCCTCCACTCCTCTCCCCTGGCCTGTGAGGACTTAGAGTCTGATTCATAGGTCTAGGAAAATGAGAGGTGGTGGAGGTGGGTCTTGAGGATATACAGTCCTCTGCAGGGGAACTATCTCAGGGGAGATCATTACAGGTTCTTCAGGGAAGGGGGAATGAACTCAGAGAGGGGAGGAAGGCCTCCTCATGGTGAAAGAGGCTCAGCTAAACTTAGAGGTCAAAGGCCTCAGCTTTGTTGGAATCTGCCCACATGTTCCCACCTCAGCTTTTCAGGATTCTATTCCTCCCCATTGATGTCCTATGACGTAAGAGAATCTACAAGGTTGTGAATCAATGTATTGTCATTCAGCCATTGACTGAATTTGACTTTGGGTCTTTCTTTTTTTTTTTAAGCAAAGAAATGCTGATTATATATGACGAGTCCCCCCACAAAGTGTTAATGTGTAGCCAAGCTCAAAGCTAAGACAGAAAAATCCTCCAGGGGCCAAAAATAAGAGTTTGAGCCTATGGTGTCAAGTGGGAGTTGAAACTGAATGGCTTACAAAGGCCAACGGAACTGGACACATGGCTGGGGTTTAATCTTTAGTGTAAATGGGAGTCAGGGTCAGAGGAGCTGACTCAGAGGAGGCATCAGGGAGTGAGCAGTCAACTACCCAACATTACAAATGAAAGATCAGCTCTCTTTCCTTGACTTTGAAGAGAGAAACAGGTAGTCCCTAGGTGCTACCACCAACCTAGGACCAACCTTTGGACCAACTGAAAGAACAAGGTCAACCAGAAGGGCAGATATGAGAATCAAAAGGAAAGCATTCTGGAATCCTGACTGAGCCAGGTCTAATTTCTGCTCTACCTGCGGTCTTTTCAGTTATGTGAGGCCAATCTTTTTCCTTTAACAGAGGGGTCAACAGACTTTTTCTGTAAAGGGCCAGAAAGTAAATATTTTAGATTTTGTGGGCCAAAGTGTTGTCACAACTACTAAATTCTCTCATTGCAATGAGAAACAGCCATAGATGATACTTAAATGAATGGGCATCGCTATATTCCAACGAAACTTTAAAGGCAGTGGGCCAGATTTGGCCCATGGGAAGTAGATTGCCAACCCTTGACTTAACCCACTAACCTACATATTACCTTTCGAGCTGGTGGGCCACACTGATATCTACTAAAATCAAAACATGGGAGGCACAGGATTTCTAAGGCAATTTGAAGTAGCATGGACTCTACATACTTAGCATGTACAAGTATGGCCTAAGAAATCAATTTTGGAAACCTGCCTCTCACATTATTTACATCCTTTACTGACTAAAGCCCCTTAACCAAAAAAGCATGAAATATCAGCAAAATGACTAAGTGGGAAACAGTATTCAAACCTGCTCCTTAACAGCTTGTTCCCGTCACACTAGGTACCTTCTCTCTGCACATCCTTTCCCCAGGGAAGCTTTGTTAAATTTTACCTCCAAAGCGTATGTGTTTCCACTCTATCTTCAGGATTTGCCCGTTCACTATTACTTTGTAAACAATTTTTTCATCATTCATTTTTTCCCACAGCTCAACATTCTCTGTACCACAGTGCCTGGAAGACCCAGCTGCTTCCTCAGACCAGGCCCTTGAAAGGGCAAGCCAGTACCTGGACTATCCATTCATCTGGTAGGGAAGACTGACAAGAACTACGATGTGTAAATTTCTACTGTTGGAATTACAGTAGAATCTTCTAGGCCACATGGATTTATGCCTAAAATTCAAATGCATTAATTACAAATATATAGCTACACTCACTAATGTATCTGTATCTTTGAGCCATATAACTTTTTTGTTTTTAAAATTGATTCCCAGAATTCTCTTCCTTAATGTTGGCCTTATACACCACATAATAGGATTTCTTACTGTAAGGGATTAGTATGTCCTTCCTAATTTTTTGAATTATATTTTACAGTCTTACTACCTGTGATACTACAAAGTAACAATACTGTAAAATTGATGCTTAATAAAAAATTAAAAATACAGAATTTAAATGCGGAAAAATCCCTGAAAATCTTGACACTGTTTACATAAAGGTGAATAGAATATCCTTTCACATATTATCCAATGCATTACTAACACACTCGGACCCACACAAGTTTAACGTATGTGACGTCCCAGAACTACATTAAACTGTTACATTCTTCTGCCATAAGGCTTAGGCATCATTTTAATGGATCTGTTGTTGCATATCAAGACATATTTAAATTCCTATTGATGAATACTTACCCCTTTACAAAATTTAGTAACATTGTTGCTATGCTACTCACCTTTTCTATTTGAATGTCCTAAATTCCTATTCTATGATTTCCAGATCAAAGGGATTCACATTCTATATTTTGATATATACTGACCAACTTTTCAAAAGCAGTTTTTCAACCCAACACTAAGAAAAAGTGTGAAAGTCAGTCATGCCCCAGTAATCAATCTGTTTTGTGAAATTGTATCAAATTCCAACAAATAACTTTTTCCCTTTTTTCTCAGGCAGGGGAGAGGGAGTAATGGGGTAGAGAACTTGACAAAAGTAACCTACTTTACAGAGCTTCTCTACCCAAGACGTTTTGATGAAAGTAATGCTAAAACCCTTAGAAGGTAACCACATCAAAGCTTGGATGGAATATGGGGGATCAGATTGGCAACCCAAAATGCATCTCTTGGCTTATCTTCAAGAACAAAAGACTCTGAAAGAAAGCTTTGACCTTCCCCCTAACTGCCTAAAAGAATTGAAGATAGACAGTCTGTCCCAGGAAGGAGCTATCACCATACATAAGGAAGGCATTTAGCAAAGGCCATTTTATCAAAAGACTTCTTTCGGTCTCATTGTCTAGATGGCCCAGCAAACACTTATCAAACATTTGCTTTTCCATCTTCACGTAAATTGCCATCCTCCTCTTTGAAGACCCAAACCACGTCCCGCCCCCCCCCCCGCCCCCCCGCAACGTCCTCCGTTGTCTTTAGCTGGAGATGGTATTTAAGTTGGTGGCTCCCACCATTTTGGTGATTTACTGGTTTCCTGGGTCTCTCCCCCATGTACACGTTATTAAACCTTGACTTTCTCCTGTTATTCTCTCATGTCAATTTAATTCTGAGACCAGCCAGAAGGACCCAGAGGGCAGGGGAACTGTCTTCCTCCCCAACATAAATGTGAAGAGTAAGAAACCAACGATCAATTCAACATTTACTAAGAAATGTTTGTCATTAGTAACTCTCACTGACACTTAAACCCCTGCAGTGACATTGAGGAAAAAAAATCAATAATGGATCTTATCTCTGCAAGATTAACAATCCATTTTTCAGTCTATACTGTTACAAAAGATAATTGAATTCATACTGTATAAAATCAATAAAAAAAAAACTCTAGTGATAAGATGCTAAGACTCGACTTGATGAAAGGCTGCAGGGAGGATACAAACTGCTTACAACAGGGCAAAGCCAAATTAATGACAGATTGCAGTAATGACTGGTTTTCTAACATTTCAACTCTTGTCTCCCTGAATTAATTTTATTAAGGCCACATTTAGGTTATCTGTTCTGAATACAAATATGAAGCTTTGGAGGTGATCTCAACACAATTTTCAAATACACACTTCCCCCCATTTGTTAATTTAACAAATGTGAAACACCGACAAAGGACGTGGCAATGTTAAGACTATGCAGATTCAGAACAGAAGTCTCTGCACTTATATGGAGCTCACATTCTAACAGGCATTAATTTTGGCACGTCCATCATACTTTTGTACAAGGCCTGATACTTTCTAAGGCCTCTAACCTGAGCAATATTTAATAAAGTTTGAAGTTCAAACTGAAGCCCTTATTACACCACTTATAAGAGTTCTCAGCTTTGTGACCTCCTGACTACTGGGATATGTTGAGCGATAACTGAAACAACGACTTTAATGACACAAATGAGCTTTTCTTTTGAACGTGATGATTGGAAGAATTCACACGACACAAGTTTTTTAAAAATTCATTTTATAGAACTTTTTTCCTGTGTGGACTCTCTGATGTTCTTACCACACCTATCACTTTTATAGGATTTATCACCAGCGTGGATTCTGTGATGAATCGTAAGATTTGATCTCCAGCTGAAGCTCTTACCACACATTTCACACTTATATGGTTTCTCTCCTGTGTGAACTCTCTGATGAGACTGCAGCTGTGAAGACCGACTGAAGACTTTCCCACACACGTCACACTTGTACGGTTTCTCCCCAGTGTGGACGCTCTGATGAAGCTGAAGACTTGAGGCCTGACTGAAGTGCTTCCCACACTCCCCACACTTATATGGCTTCTCCCCTGTGTGCACCCTCTGATGCATGTCAAGGTTCAAGATCCACTTGAAGCCCTTCCCACACTCCTCACATTTGTACGGCTTTTCTCCAGTGTGGACTTTCTGATGAGCTTGAAGGTGGGAACTCCGACCAAAGCTCTTCCCGCACTCTTCACACTTGAATGGTTTCTCTCCACTGTGGACTCTCTGATGGGCCAGAAGATTTGAGGCCTGCCTGAACACCTTCCCACACTCCTCACAATTATATGGTTTCTCTCCTGTGTGGATTCGGCAATGAATTTTAAGATCTGCTCTCCGGCTGAACCCCTTCCCACACTCTTCACATTTGTAGGGCTTCTCTCCAGTGTGGATCAGCTGGTGAATCTGAAGTCTTGAACTCTGATTGAAGCCCTGCCCACACTCCTCACATTTATAAGGTTTCTCTACACTGTGGGCTTTCTGATGGATTTGAAGATATGAACTCTGACTGAAGCCCTTCCCACACACCTCACATTTATAGGGCTTCTCTCCTGTGTGAACCACCAGATGAACTTGATAATGAGAGTTCCTCCTGAAGCTTTTCCCACATTCCTCACATTTGTATGGTTTCTCTCCTGTGTGGACTCTCTGATGGGCCTGAAGATTTGAACTCAGAGTAAAGCCTTTACCACACACATTACATATGTACGATTTCTCGCCAGTGTGGACTCCCTGATGGGCCTGAAGACTTGAAGGCCGACTAAAGCCTTTACCGCACTCCTCACACTTGTAGGGTTTTTCTCCTGTGTGGACTCTCTGATGAATGTATAGATTTGAGCTACAAATAAATCCCTTCCCACACTCCTCACATTTGTACGGCTTCTCCCCTGTATGGACTCTCTGATGGGACTGAAGATGTGAATTCCTACTGAAGCTCTTACCACATGCATCACATCTGAATGGTTTCTCTCCAGTGTGGACTCTCTGATGGTCCTGAAGATGAGAGGCCTGAGTGAAGGCCCTCCCACACTCCTCACAATTATAAGGTTTCTCTCCTGTGTGAACTTTGCAATGAACGGTAAGTGCTGATCTACGACTGAAGCCTTTCCCACAATGCTCACATGTGAAAGGTTTCGCTACAGTGTGGACTTTCTGATGAGTTTCCAGATGTGAGCTCTGAGTGAATTCCTTCCCACACTCATCACACTTATAGTGCTTCTCTCCCACGTGAATTCTCTGATGAATATGAAGAACTGAGCTATAACGAAAGTCTTTTCCACACTCATGACATGTATGAGACTTCTCTTTTGAGTGTAACTGCCTGTGAAGGTCAAAGGTGGAGAGATCACTGAAGGTTTTTTCACATTCACTACACTGGTAAGAATTTGGTCCTGTGTGAATCATACTGTTCTGATCCAATGTTGAACTCTTCGTGGTGTCTTTTCCAAAATCATTATGGCTATAAGATTTTTCATCTTTGTATACTCCATGATCATCAAGGCGATGTGAAATGCAACTGATGGTGTCAACATCCTGTTTAGACAGACGCAGTGTATTTTTCATGGAAATCTGCTGATAATTCTGTGACTCGATCACGGAAGTTTTCTTCCAAGTTGGAAACTCTGGGTTTCCAGTACCACTGGGACCATCCACTTTATGATTTGGGATACAGTTCTCATCTTCGGAAATTTGAACAGATAGTCCTGTCCCAACCCTACAGGGGGAATCACCCTGTCTGTGGAACTGAGAACTACTTATCGTGGAGTCTTGACGCCGAATTAAGTCATCTGCAATTTGTTGCCAAATGTGACAGCAGGAAAGCTCTTCATGTGGTCCTCTGTCGTGAACAGTCCTCAACTCATTTTGATTGTTCTCTCCTATAAGGATAGAGAATTCAGAGATGTGGACAAGTGAAAGCTGTTCAAAGATTCAAGATTTCACACTTAGGGCACAGTAGGAGACTTTAAGGAACCACAGGATGGTCCAGCCTCTTTTCCACCACATATGAAGTTCTCTGGTTTATATACTAGTCTATTAAACTCACAACCACTTAGCATTAATAAAACCCAATTAAGACAAAATTACCGCCATCTGGCATTCTATTTCGATCATTATTCAGAAATTATGTCTTTCTGTCTACAACACAGTATCAATAAGGACAAGTATTTTGTAGTGCTCCCAGCTTTAACAGTGCCTGGCAGTTAGTAGATGCTAAAGAAATGCACAGATAGACGAACCCCTGGTTTTTTTGGTGAGGAAGATTCGCCCTAACACCTTTTGCCAATCCTCCTCTTTTTGCTTGAGGAAGATTGTCCCTGAGCTAACATCTGTGCCAATCTTCCTCTATTTTTTGTATGTGGGACGCCTCCACAGCACAGCCAACAAGCGGAGTAGGTCTGTGCCCGGGATCCAAACCTATGAAGCTGGGCCACTGAAGCAGAGCATGCAGAACCTTAACCACTTGGCCACAGGGCCGGTCCCCCCAGTTTCATTTCCGGGATTCCCTATAATTCTAAATCCCAGTTTAAGTTTGAACCAAGTCAGAAAAGCAAAAGAGCTTTCATAAGTAAGGTATCTGAAATAGGAAAAGCACTGGAAAGCACAGTTTGCTGAGCAATTGAAAGGCTGTACCAGAGGGAGCAGTACACCAAGGGGGTTAATAATAAGGACAAAATCTAAGGTGCTAAGAATCACTTGGAGTGAAAAAAAGCATGAAGATCTACACACTCGATCCTTCTGAGGCTTCTGTACTGTCTTTGCAATATGTTTTTCCCCCAAGTAGGAGTCAAACTTCAGAGGCTGGGGAAGAAGGCTGTCTCTTTGAAAATAGTGTGGAAAATTTGGGGGATATAGAAACACTGGCCTTTAACAAGAATAATTTTCAAAGTGAAGAATGCAGTTTATTAGTGAGCTAGGAAGTAAATTCCATAGTTTGTGGTAGGTATTTAGAAGAAACAGACTAGAAACTATCAGAGAATCATTATAAGCAGTAAAGGTATCGTTACACGAAATGCATTCTACAGTCATACATATAAATCTACAAACAATGTGGTTTTAGAGTAATGATGTAAGATGTATTTTTTATTGTGGATGTGGACTTTGGAAGAGGCAAATGGGATGCAGGTGGGCAAGTCTTTTGTGGGACAGATTAACTCACAAGCTGGCTATTTTCTGAGACTTTTTTCTTCCTTGATGTAAGGGATAAGGAAATAGAATTTTTTTCCTTCTATCAGGGAGCTGCCTGAGAAGTGGACATTAAGAATCTTCATTAAAAAATATTTCCTTCCCAGGGGCTGGCCCAGTGGCATGGTGCTTAAGTTCACATGCTCCACTTTGGTGGCCCAGGGTCTGCGGGTTCTGGAGACTACACTTCATCAAGGAGAGAGACGTGATAAACAAGTGAGTGAAAACAGACGTGAGATGATAATCAATGCTTAGATACAAAATAAGGCAGGGCACAGAGAGTAGAGAGAGAACTGTACCTTCAACAGGGTGGTCAGAGGAGAGCCCGCTCATGATACTAAAACTGAGCGACCTGAAAGAAGCAAGGAAGGGGCCTGAAGGTTGTAGGTGGGAGAGTATTCCAGGCAGACGGAAGAACCAGCACAGGGCTCCAAGGCAGAACCATCCCCGGCAGGTCTGAGAAACAGCAGGGAAGACAACGTAGGTGGAGAAGACAGAGCAAGAGGGACGACAGGAGATGTACTCAGAGAGGCCATATGGGAGAGTGATGTCAGCATCGTGGTGGAGTGAACTTGCCTGGGATTCTCTCCCCTCCAACATGCAACAAAAAGGGACATCCATACTTCAACAGAGGACATCCTAACACAACACAAAAATGTCACAGAGACACACTCAGCCATATGATGGAGGGAGGAGAGGCTGGGGGCCCCCTCAGAAGAGCTGGAACGGGGTAAGAGAAAACTTCGCTCCCTCCCATAATAGACTGAGATCCGAGACCATGGGAGGATCTGAGGGGAGGAATGGGGGAGGGGACATTTGTTTGCAGGAACATCAAGGACCCCCTGAGGGCCCATATGGCATAGAGGGAAGACCTCTACCAGGGCAAAAGCTTTCACAGGGGGTGATCTCATCAAGCCAACACCCCAGGAGAGCAGATATTGAGAGCAGAGTGAGAAGGCCCCCAGAGAACACAGGAGAAAGCACCCCTCCCCCTACCTGCCTGGTGCCACGCCGGTTCCAGTGCCTGGGATCTCAGCTGAAGGCAGAGGGCTCAGAATATGCGGCGCTTCACCCCAACCCAGTGGCAACAGGCAGTAACCGCAAGCAAATATCAGGATGCATAAGACCAGAGCCACCCCCTCTAGCAAGATCAAACATTAAATCAAATCTCCAGATGAGAGAAAACGACAAGTACCCAGAATTCAGTCCTGAGGACACATAAATATGTAATCTAAATGACGATGAATTCAAAACAGCTATCATCAAAAAATTCAACGAAGTAAAAGAGAATGTAGAGAAACAATTCAACAAGTTCAGGAGCTATTTCACAAAAGAGATTTAAACTATAAAGAAGAATCAATCAGACATATTAGAGATGAAAGACACAATGGAAGAGATAAAACAGAGAGGCCATGCGGGATGAAGAGCAGACCACAGAGGACTCTAGAAGCCACTTTAAGTGGGTTTTTTTGTTTTGGTGAGGAAGATTGGCCCTGAGCTAACATCTCTTGCCAATCTTCCTCAATTTTGTATGTGGGACGCCACCACAGCATGGCTTGACGAGCACCATGTAGGTCCATGCCCAGGATCTGAACCAGTGAAACCCAGGCCGCCAAAACGGAGTACACAAACTTAAACCACTAGACCAGCCCCCGTAAGTGGCTTTTATTCTAACTGAAATAACCTATTAGAGAATTTTGAACAGAGGACTAACGTAATCTGACAAAGTTTCACTTCAGCTGCCACTTAAGAGCAGACGGCGGGAGAAGGGTGGGAACCAGTAGGAAGACCGTGGCGATAATCCAGGGGATCTGGCGATTTGGACCAGGTGACAGCACAGGAGTGGGGAGAAGCAAAACAGAGGGACAGTTAACTATGAGAACTCACAATTACTTGGTTCTTACCGAAATTTCTCTCTACCTGACTTGCTGTCTTCATCATCCAAAGCTTTGCTTCTCTTTCTATATGCGATATATCTGGTTTCAAGGGTTGATGTCCTGAGAACAGGTAAAGTCACAAGTTAAAATGAACACACCAGAGCTAAAATTTACTGGAAATTTGAGTTTCAACTGCTTATGCAAGATGTTGAAAGCAGTGTGTTTAAATCTTTTTTTTTCAATCATGACCCACTGAAGAAAGAGCGTTTATTTCATGACCCAGACACATATGTAGAAATACATATTACTAGAACAAACGATGAATGACCTATTTCTAATCAATGTCCATTTTTGTTAAATCTGCTCCCACTGGCTCTCATACCACTCACGCAATTGGCCAGAGTTTTTGCTGCTTCGTGTTCTGTTCTTCTGAAGGCGCTCTAAAATTTTCTACCCTACTTGGTTTCATCAAAAATTGCTTGTAGCACTCAATAAATTGGTTTTATAATTCACTCATGGGACAGGAGTGAAATTTGAAAAAGAATAGACAAGGTATAACAGTATACTGTCCATTTACAGTTTCTTTGTTTTCTTTTCAGATTTTATTTTTCCCTCCTCTTCATAGCCCCCAGTATATAGTTGTATATTCCAGTTGCAGGTCCTTCTGGTTGTGCTATGTGGGACACTGCCTCAGCATGGCCTGATGAGTGGTGCCATGTCTGCACCCAGGATCCAAACTGATGAAACCCTGGGCCACCGAAGCAGAGCGTGTGACCTTAACCACTCAGCCACGGGGCCCAACCCTGCAGTTCTTTCACAAAACACAAATGTAAAAGACCTAAACAGCCTGTTTAGAAAGACCAGAAACATCCTCCTGTGTCCCACAGGAAATAGCAAAATCTGGTCCCCAAACTCAGGGAACTATTTCAAGAGCCCCAAAGCCTTAAATCACAAAGTCACAAAGACACTCCCGAGGGTGCCTGTCCTCACCCACTGAGAGCAGGTTCCTGAAGTTCTCCAGCATCACGTCCTGGTACAGCTGCCTCTGGGTGGAGTCCAGCAGCCCCAGCTCCTCCTCCGTGAAGGCCACAGCCACGTCCTTGAAGGTCACTGGCTCCTGCAACAAACACATACAACCTCAACCTCATGCTCAGTGTCCA